TTCTCTGGTACCACGATAGCGGGTTTTGTGTATATGGCATGCTGTTGACTTCTGGCAAAGGGAATGACTGTTGGTCATAGCCCATAATACGTTGAGACGTGGAGCTGTGCCCGTACTTCACCCGCGCTGCCTGCAGCATTTGCCAGAACCCCACTGGTGCTCCTTCCAATGCAAGGCGACGAGACCGTAGTATCTCCAAGAATTGCTGCTCGTTTATGGGGATGTTCCACGACCGTTGCTTCGCCATACTTGTAAACTCAGCAATCATTTCCTTGTCGCCTTTTTCCACAAAGGCCTCCAGGATATGCTTGTAGAGTACTCGGTCGGGCACTATGTCAAATTTATCCAGGTACCGGAAGATAAAATTGCGAATCTCAATTCCCGAGTGTGAGACCCAGTACTCGAGAAATATTCGATCAAAAATTGGAAGAAAATCTCGCCGGCGTTTCGTCAGCTTGAGCCTGTGCATCTCTTGCAGTCCCGCATCAACTCCCTCCCAGTCACAGTTCAGAGCCTGGGCGTATACCAATAGGCCCTGTGTTCGGCAACGAAGAGGGAGCCCATATATAGTCGTCATATCATGGACCAGAGCTTCAGCATCGGCAACTCGCCCAAATTCAACATATGCCTTGATCACCGGGTTGAACAGTTTGTCGCTAGGCTGTTTTTCGAACTTTGGAAGAATTGTCAAAATCTTCTTTAACTGCCCATTCAACAACTCAATGCTTCTTGTCTTCCTCCAAAGGCCGGAGAGGTAGGCTCCGCACAAGCCACAATCACGGTCATGTTGTAGATTCCGCAACAGGAACCATTTCGCAGTGGTGAGTCGGTGGGATTCAAGCAGACTCCGCAGCACGACATCCACCATCTCCGGAGGGCAAGGGAACTTGCGCATATATCGCGTATAAACGCTCGCGACTGATTCAATGCAACCCTTCTTCGCCAAGGCCAGCATCAACGTCTTCCACATCTCAGGTGTGACCTTATCCACGTCTTCGAGCCGCTCAAACACACTCCTGGCAATAAACACATTGTCCTCTTTGCAGTTGACGAAGAATACCTTCACAGCCATTTCCTTTCTGTCTGAAGATATGCCATTCAATGATGCGGAATGTGCGTTCAGGAAAAATTGGGCCGCCTCAATGGGACGACCGCGATCGAGTAGTTCCTGCATCCGTGTCGGGACAAGAACCTGCTCTTCACTCTGCCATTCGTCGCTCTCCACTGATGCATCCAGAAGTTGAGCCGGTGAGGTGGCATGATTTAACTCTATAGCATTTTTCGTCCGCTCCATGGCGTCCACAACCCGGACCTGCCCAGGAGGAACAAAATCCCTTCGACCCAAGCCACTCTCAAAATTCGGCCGTGATGTAAGCGCATCGACAAGTTGCGAACGTGCAGTTTCCAGGTAAGACTCTACCTGGACTGCGGCTCGCGGATCCTCCAACCCCATGCCTGGACGCCGAAAGCCCTCCTGGTGCAAAGCTACCACATCGTCATCCTGCGTAGCTTGCCCTTCTCGTATCTTTCTGTCTGCCTCCTTCAACGACGCCAGCCCCATAAATTCGCCCGCTTCCGCTGCTTCCATCATACGGGCGAGTCGTTTCGCGGCCGATGTGGCATCGTAGTTGGGCGCGGAGGTCTGCAGGGCCCGTTTATTCTCGACAATGCGCTCGGCGACTCGGACTCGGCGATGGACATCATAGGTGATGGCTGCGACCGTGCAAAAACTGCCCACGGTTGAGCCGGCAAGAGCTAGTCTACGCAGAACCCGGAGAGCATTTCGAGACGGGACAGCCGGGGGGCTGTTGGTTGGTTTCGAGATCATGGTGGTAGAACCTATTGCACCGCAGGCGGCGGGTTCTATGCGTATCACCTGTGAAGCATTGATATGAACAGCAAACCGAGAGAAAGCTCAACTAATGGGGACAATGCCCGAAAGAAGGTTGAGGGACGCCAATGGGCACAATTGGGTTGGGAGCTTCAACGGAGCAGTTTCGGTGGACTTTTCCTTGAGCTCCAGCGGAAAGTTTGCATGCGGTGCACTTGCAGGCTTTGTCGCGTGCCGTAGCCCTCCGATCGCTCTCCGGATCCAGCTAGGATCATACGACAACAACTATCAGCGTCAATTGCTCTTTGCTATATTTCTGTTGTTTTCCTATAATCCTTAATTTGTATAACTGAACGAGAAATTCGCAGAGTGTCCCTTATTGTACCTGTAGAGATATCATCGCAACCAGCTCCTCTGAGCTTCATCGTGGACATCTTGAGATGATTTCAATATTTAGAAACAATTGCTACTGAATGTACTCCGACGCCGAACCAAAAACGTACACATTACAGCAAAGGGTCTATCACTGATTCCGCCTTGTATATAATTCTAAGAGCGTAAGAGAGTGTCCTCATCTAATTCCCCGTCTTCGTTCGCCTCAAGGAGAGGACTGCTTGGCTGAGACTCGTCAATAGATACTGCATAGCGTTAGCATTTCGCCTCTAGTAGGTGGAGGGGAATAATGCCGAACCATTTGGTGATATGTAGAAGCTACTGCAGATCGCCAAGAACAACACAGCTGCCAGAGAAACGAAGACTGTTTGAGTAAATTTGCCCACTGTCAGGCTATAGACGAGATTGCATAAAGTAGGCGCGACTACTCTAGCCAGAGCATGCAAGAGCCCTTTAGCACCGAGTATTTGCCCGACTCGATCACGGGGCACGTGCTTGGTCAACGATGATTGCAGCGTAGGCGTAGCTAGGCTTCCTAGAGCGGCGACAATGCCTGAAAGAGTCATAAGCGCACTGCTTCGTACAAGTGCATATCCCACATAGCCAAGAAAATCGAAAAAGATGGATATCTGTATAACCACAAGCTCCACCCTATTGGAGCCGGGGATAGCGCGCTGTTCGGTGGTACGCTTGTGGAAGATGCGTGTGACGATAGGATGCACCAAGAAAAGAACAAGCACGCGCACAGTGCTGACGACCGAGATGTAGATGCTGGATTCGACATTTCCCCATCCGAACATGAATTCAGCATAAATAATCACAAGCTGGGCGGTGCCAAAGGCAACACCAAATACGACTGTATCAATGGCAGCAAGAAGTATGATGTTTCCTCGCAGGGCAGGGCTTGCGCCCTTGCGGTTAGGAAAAAGAGAGCTGGGACGTCCAACAGGCGGACACAGAATGGAGAGTGGGGTGATGAGGTTCTTTGGGTTCAAGTGTCGAAACCAAGAAGGAGAAAACCAGCCGCCAGTCTCCTTTCGAGTGAACTTCATCCGGTGGTTCTCTCTCGCAGCTTGCTGTTGCTCATTTGACAGCGATTCTGGAATGACGAACAGAACCATGAAGAAGAACAGCGCATGGAACGCCAGGCCCGCAGCGAAAATATGTATCATCTCTCCGGTCTTCTTCAGGACGATCGCTGCAATGAGTGGCCCAGAGGCCAATCCAATGAAGAGAGCGCCGTGAAGATACCCAAACGCGACGCTACGTTTTTCTGGGACAGTACAATCGGAGGCGTAAGAGGTAGCCAGGGCCAATACCGTGGTGAATGAGCCTCCAATGCCGTCCAGTAGAGCGCCTACTAGGAGTAGGTTGATGGAAAATTGCTCCGGTCTGGCTGCGACGAGGGTTGTGAGTGTTTCGCCAAGCACAGCTCCAAGCGAGCTCAGGGCGATCAACTTTGTCCTGCCATAACGGTCTGACATATGACCGAGCCGCGGACTGACCAATGCGGACAGGATTCCTGCAATCAAATTGAGGTAGAGCTGAAATTGAGCCACGAGAGACTGCACCTCGGGCACCTGGCACTGGGGGTTGTCTTCCCCGATGATAACAGGCAGATACGTAAAGTTAGGATCCTGCGAAGCCTTCTTGGAAAGATAGTCCCTGCAAACAAGAGAAAGAATCAGATTGATCTTGGGGACAGCCGCACCAGCAAACCCTAGCATGTAGAGAAGCAGAAACGGAAACAACCAAAAGACCTAGAAAGAGATCAGAACGCGATGGATGGGTTTGAATCGGGAGCATTATCTCAACGCACATGAGGCCGTCTGAAGAAATTCCAGCAACCGGCCCTCTGGCCAGCTACGTTCTGCTCCGAGTCTTCCGCATTTCCATGGCCTGCTAGTAACGGCGTTGTTTCCTGGACACGCAATCGGACTGTGTCCTTGATACTGTCACCTGAAGTGGTTCGAACACCTGAGTTTGACGAGACAGCTCTGGCGTGCAGCTGTGCATCCGCCTCAAACGCGTCCTCGTTCTCCATCGCTGACGATAAAGAAATTCAATAAAAGTGAGAAGCTTCCTGGATCCTGAGGTGGAACGAGGTTAGAATCTACATTCGCGATAACCTTGGTGGCATTGATGATAACAATAAATTGGGAATCATATGTATCACGACGGCTCTCACCCCTGGGACGAAACAATGTAATGATCAAGCGAGGGGATGGCCAAGAATGAAGGGGATGGGGATGATTATGGAGATAGCTTGGGGGCCGAAGTGGCCGTCATGAACTCATGATTACCAATTCCACACGAGAACTGGGAACGGAGCTGGAGTGACTTCGCGGCCGTTGGCTTTGCGTCAGCCCGATCCCATGTAAGTTATCAAGCAACACTATGAGAGTTTGTCCAATCGTTCTTATCAAGGGTTGAGATTTGAGACGTTGGGCTAATGTCGGGCAATTCTTGATAAGGTACTTGATTTGTTGTTGTTGCACGTGTGCGACTCTGAATGGTGACAAAGTCGCTGTCAAGGTTGACTATGAGACTTTACGGGAAACGCTCCGTCCATATTGTTTATATATACCTATAGAGGTCACAACCATTGAAGACCAACAATGCAATGGGATTATATGCTCGGACTTCTCAACAATATACATTGCTTTGCTGCGCTCCGCGAATAAATCACCTCGTATGACAACACAACCTAACGCCCCGAGGAAAATGGCCTCTAATATTGTATACAACGACTGAGAACAGCCATAATAGAAATAAACTAAACTACAAGAGAAGACATTTTCTCACCAGCAAAGAATTTCTTCTGTTCCAGGCACCGGTCGCTCTTACAACCTTGACAGCGCAGAGTCATCTGTAATGAGCACTTCTCTCCCTTACGGAGGTGCTTTTGGGCAATGTCTGCTAGTGCCTGGATGAAAATGGGGTTACCATTCAAACTCTCAGCTCGCTTGACTCCCGGGGAGTTTGCTTCCTTAATCACTTCCAGGTCCAACTCGTACAGAGTCTCGATATGATCGCTGGTGAAGGCAATGGGGACTAGAATAATATCGGTCTGTCCACGTTTGACATAGTTCTCGACCGTATCGCTAGTCTGGGCTCCAAGCCAAGCTGACGGTCCCACCTGGGACTGCCAGCACAGTCGGTAAGGGTTGCTGAAATTCAATCTTTGCATGACAGCATGCACAGTTGCAGCGACTTCAGCAGGGTAAGGGTCACCTAGGAGATCTGTTAGTGAGCAGATCCCGTTGATCAGGAAGAAGATGAGTCTCACCTCTGTTAACAACACTCATAGGCAGACTGTGGGCTGAGAACAAGAGAACGACACCGTTCCGCTTCTCCTCCGGGTAGGTCTTCAGCTGCTCCTCAATGTTCCGAGCGAAAGCCTCCACGAGGCCAGGGTGCGTTGGCCATCGATCAATGACACTCCACTGGAGGGCACCGGAGGGCTGCATGTCGCCATTTGCACGCCTACCCTCCAGCCTGGTTCTCCATTTCCACAACTCGTTTAGCGAGCTACCCGTTGTGGAACACGAATACTGGGGGTACTGTGTGAACGCGACAGCGCGCCCTCCTCGCCCATTGCCGAACCCATCTTCCAATAACTTTGTATACATTTCCTCCGTCAGAGGGTCGGCGTACCGGAATGCGACGTAAGGCTTGTGAGGAGCCGTTTCGGGATTGATTTTGTCCAGCAATTTGCACATCTCCTCGCACTGATACTCGGACCATTTCCTGATCGGCGAGCCTCCACCAATATCCGAGTATTGCCGTTGGATCTTTGGAGTCCTGCGCTTAGCGATGAGAGGCCCGAGGTAGGATTGAAGTCGTCCGAGAGGAATCAGATCGCCATCGGCCTGGAATACAAAGACAGAAATTGTCAGTCTCGTACAGAGTGGCAGGGTTAGGTATATTGAGGGGTGCATACGAATAATCTGCTCAGAAAATCTTCCACTTCGTCAGTTTTTGATGGCCCACCCATGTTGAGGAAGACCATTGCCGTGGGGCCCTTGGACCCAGTTGCATCTTGAGTGACCGGGGGAACTGCTGTTGCAAGCCCCTTCCTCTGCTCCTGCACATAAGTCAGAGCGGTGCGAGACACAGTTGATCGCACGCCTGAACAAGCTCCATTCAGTATGTGCCTCGGAAGCGTTAATGGCCGGCGGAGAGCCATGGAGAGATGCGATGACAATGTATTTGAAAAGGTCGGCCGCTGTCTATCTGTCTATCATCAGCCACACAGGAGCCCACAAAATACACCGAATAGTATTTGACCGCTCAATGAAAGAATTGTGGCAAGAAGGAATTGTAACTGGAGAACCAGGTAGATACCTAGGTACTCAGTTGGTTGATGACGGAACAGCGGCAGCTAGAAGTTTTGGCCAATCAGCAATGATTTGGGGTCATCAAGTCTTGGCACATTCACGTGATGTTCGTGTTTCCCCGCGTTGCTCCCATTTGACGAGATCGCGTCACTCGTTGAAGGCGGCGGGCACGCAGGCAGCAGAGCGGTAGGACTCAAGGCAGAGAAGGAGGTGATGTAAATACCGACCATATTTTCTTGCTTTCAATGTACCTCTTTTCTCCTTCTTCGTTCCTAGGCTGTAGTTTCTAAATTCATTCACTATTACAGTGGCTCATCATGGCTGATGACAATCCATACCGGGATGATGAGGCATTGGAAGAGGAGGAGGAAATCGATGAGACTGTATGCGAAATCCTACCATTGCCAAGGCGTCATGCACTAAAGATGTCTCGCAGGGCTACAAAGCAGTAAAGGACGCCGTGCTCTTCGCCATCGAAGTCAGCGATTCAATGTTGACTCCGCGTCCATCATCTGATCCTAAGAAGAGAGTGGAAGAATCACCGACCACCGCGGCTTTGAAATGCGCATACCACCTCATGCAACAACGCATTATATCCAATCCCCGTGACATGATCGGCGTATTACTGTACGGGACACAGGCGTCCAAATTCTATGACGAGGATGAGAACAGCCGTGGGGATCTATCCTATCCTCACTGCTACCTTTTTACGGATCTAGATGTCCCTTCAGCACGAGAGGTGAAAGAACTCCGAGCTCTGGCAGAGGACGAAGGGAAAGCAAGAGATGTGCTCGTGCCATCGAAAGAGCGGGTCTCCATGGCCAATGTACTTTTCTGTGCGAATCAGATATTCACGTCCAAAGCTCCCAACTTTCTATCCCGGCGATTGTTCATCGTCACAGACAATGATAACCCTCACGGGGATAGTAAGAGTCAGCGATCAGCTGCCACCGTCCGCGCGAAAGATCTCTACGATCTGGGGGTGACCATTGAGCTGTTTCCGATCTCTCGGCCTGAGCATGAGTTCGACAGCTCCAAGTTCTATGACGTAAGACGAGCCGGCGTTGACTGTCACTGTAGGCGATTTTGTGGCTCACATTGTACAGGATATCATCTACAGAACCTCACCAACTGATGCAGAGGCTCCTGTGTACTTGAAAGACGATTCAAAGGCGTCGACTGCCTCCGGAGATGGGATTTCGCTGCTGAACGGCCTCCTGTCCAGCATAAATTCCCGGTCGGTCCCGCGCCGGGCGCATTTTTCGAACATGCCGCTGGAGCTTGGGCCGAACTTCAAGATCTCCGTGACAGGATATCTCTTGTTCAAACGCCAGGCACCTGCACGCAGCTGTTATGTCTGGCTTGGCGGGGAGAAGCCTCAGATCGTCAAAGGCGTAACTACCCAGATCGCAGATGATACTGCTCGCACCGTTGAAAAGTCAGAGATACGGAAAGCATACAAATTTGGTAATGATCAGGTGTCCTTCACTTCCGAGGAGCAAAAGGCCCTGAGACACTTCGGCGACCCAGTGATCCGTATCATTGGATTCAAGCCACTCTCCGCTCTCCCTTTCTGGGCCAACGTCAAGCACCCATTCTTCATCTACCCTTCTGAGGAGGATTACGTGGGCTCAACGCGTGTATTCTCTGCTTTGCACCAGAAGCTCTTGAAGGATCACAAGATGGCTCTTGTCTGGTTCATTCCCCGCAAAAACGCGGCTCCAGTGCTGGGCGCAATGATGGCGGGTGAAGAGAAGGTCGACGAAAATGGCGTCCAGAAATTTCCTCCTGGAATGTGGATTATACCCCTACCATACGCGGACGATGTTCGACAAAATCCCGAAACAACACTGAATGTAGCGCCAGAGCCCTTGATCGACCAAATGCGGACAATCGTGCAACAGCTGCAGCTTCCCAAGGCATCATACGAACCGCAGAAATTTCCAAATCCATGTAAGCTGGGAGGTTTAATTCATTGACAAAGGAATGCTGATTGTTCCCTGCAGCGCTCCAATGGCATTATCGCATTCTGCAGGCCCTTGCACTGGATGAAGACCTTCCTGAAAAGCCCGAAGACAAAACAATACCGAAATACCGCCAGATTGACAAGGTGGGTTACTTTTCGTTTAGTTGTTCTCTGCGCTTTCCGCGATGAAACATTGCTAACCTGTCCCAGCGTGCTGGGGAGTACGTCCTGTCGTGGGCAGACGAATTAGAAAAACAGTACGCGACACCGGCAGCGCATGGCCCAAAGAGCACCTTGGTGAAACGGAGCGCCAAGGACCGAGCCGCCGATGGCGACGAAGCTTCCAGTCATCCGTCAAAACGGATCAAGTCAGAGAGCGGGCCTGAAGGAGTGGAGGTCGAGGTCCGGCTTCACTATGAGAAAGGAAGCCTTTCGAAGGTAAGTTGCTTGCCTGCCGACTGTCTGAAGGTTGCTAACGGGTGATATGTGATACAGCTTACTGTAGCGGTTCTCAAGGACTTTCTGACCGCTCATGGGCGCTCGACAGCGGGAAAGAAAGCGGATCTCATTGAGCGAGTCGAGGAGTACATGGAGTCTAAATGAGATCTTCGTGTCCATGTGACATGAAACAGTTAGTGAGTAATGATATACCTGTATGACTAGAAAAAGACTTCAACCCTTGAACACGTGCATCACAATAATGATGTCTGTCCTGGTAAGACACATGTCAGGTTCCTAAAAGAAATACCAAATTTGTCTATATGTACAGGGTAAGTAAGCGACCAGGTATCTCAATGACAATCGTCTATATATAAACGCCATCGCAAAACGACCACGCAGGCTAAGACTGCGAATTCAGCATTTCCCATAGACCTGACAATAGCAGACTTCCTCGTCGGGACAACTACAAAAAAGGTCAGCCCGCGCCCACGCCCACACTCATCGGGGGAAAATATAGTCAGGAAAACTTACTATACAGCTTCCTGGCCGAAAATAATATGCCACAGGAACTCCATCACCCGCCCACTCGACGCATCGTCCTTGTCGGTATCGATAACCCACCGCCGGAATCTGATATAATCGTCGCGCGGCCGCTGGAGGACCTGCTCCCGCGACACGGCGAACTGCGCACAGCACGCGGCGCCGACTTCTTTCGGTTTCGCCAGGAACTTCTGCTGGTGCGCTGCATCCGCGGCCATTGCTGCACTGGCCGGGGAAGTCGTCGCGTTCAGCGGCGGGGTGCTCGTTCCGTCGAAGATCTCCGCCCAGACCTGCTCGGTGATGTGGCGGTTGAGACGGTGGGCGGCCTTGCAGCCGGGGTTCCAGTTGCAGCGGAGGTTGACGTAGCCATTGCGCTGGACGAAGTCGAGCTGGAGGGCGCGCATGGCTGCGACGTTATCGTGGAGCGGGGCGTCGACGTGCCAGGCCATGAGGAAGCCGGCGCGGTGGGAGTGGAGGAAGGCGATGGTGGAGGGGAGGGCGTCGTAGTGGTCGATTAGGTAGGTGAGGTAGGCCATGGACTCGTGGCCTTTGTTCAGCGGGGTGGTGAGCTTCTTCTTGTCTGCGGTGGTTGCTTTGGAGGGGTTGACGGTGTAGATTGCGCGCTGCCAGCTGTCGGGGTTTTGTTAGTAAGGTAGACGGTTTGGGTGCAAGGATTGTTCGACGTACTCTGGCAGTTCTTCCTCCACCCACTCCGTGTGTTCTTCTTCCAGCTTAGCCATGACAATGACTTTGTCGCCTATTCGTCCATGAGGGAGGGTGGGGACGGTCTGCGGGAAATATCGCGATTTGGTCCAGTCGACCAGGTATGTGCCTGCACGGTACTGGTCGCAGAAATCTTCCAGGTGCACCTTTACAAGATACAGCGGTATTAGGAGCAGCAGAGTCGCGCAGCATATGATTCGGGAACTGCTTTTCATTGTGATTGTTGCGGTTGTGGTGGTGATATATCTCCAGTATGAATGACTCGCTATACCAACCACGATAGCACATATGGTGTATCCAAACAATAACACCCTGAGATCAACATCAAAGTTTAGCCATTGAGTTAGGGACCGGCCTGATTTATTAAAAGGAGTATGGCGACAAGCAAAGCAGCCGGGTGAGAGTAGGCCGCCGGGAAGTATATCAACCGCAAACCACCAAAGGCAACAGAAACTGAAGAGAGAAAAAGAACTCAGGAGCGGAAAGGGTGAATTTTGTATTAGCTTCAGAGCCCAGTGCAGCCACCCCAGGAAAAAGGGACCCGTCCATATTGGATTTGGGGGCGACCAGTGAAAGGTAGATTCGTCTCTCAACCACGGGTGTCGAGTTGGGGCTATGGGGGGGCTCATTTTGGCACTAGATTTGACTTGACTTTGAGGGGCATATGCTTATTCTCCACTGGCTGAGCCATGCTACTTACTACAATGTACTAGCCTACTAGGTCGACTACTATCCACTTAGTAAAGTCAGTGGTTGACTGTTAGCAACTAGAAGCGTTAGGCAGACCCAGGGGCCAGGGGTCAACCAGTCAGCGTCCGTCTTTCACCCATACTGGACCTGTCCCGTGGTTTAGCGTCTTTAGCGGGGAAGCTTGGCGCTCACGACAGCACAAAGTGGACATTAAAAGGAACCCGCTTGGACGGCTCAGAACGCTATTGTCATAAAGGGTGTTCGCGGGCCCCTGACAGTCTGTTCAGCCATTGATAAGATCATGGTCGCATTGAAGAGATGAAATGTGATCATAGTCTCTGACAGCGTGAGGATGTCTGCCTGTGGAGGAGCCGGACTCAGTTGGTTCTGACTTCTGAGGCCCTCAAAGGCGGATTGAATCTGGGGAACTTACCAAGGTTCGCGCGTGGCGTTGCCCCAGACAGACTTTTTTGTCCACTTCGGTGCGTACGTACGTGGCCTGGCACCGCAACCATGGCTCTTCCTGTGATGTTTCTCATGGCCTTTCTGTGTGGCGATGATGCCATGACATTGCGTTGCGAAGTTGTGGAGGTTGATATCCCGCTGATCAGCAGGGTCAATTTCTTCAACCAATGCTATGGACGAGCCAAGTAACCGATTCTCCAGATCAGGACGATCAAGTGAGTTAAGAAGACAGGGTAGTTCGACATAGATAGGTCTTGAACAAGGGTGAACCTTTAGGCCTCTTTTTTTCCCCTTTGTTGTTTTGTTAATCTAAACATAGGAACTGATAGTGGGTGTGACATCTCACAATGACTCTGATTCTTGCCTATCAACTATCTATCCGGTAGGATGTTGTCGTAAGGCTTTTTGGCCTCGATGGAATGCAACGTCAGTGGAGCATGTCACTTGCATCATGGCACCACGGTCTCAGATTGCGGATTAGACTACGGAGTATTTATTATCAAATTGAAGTACGTAGAACTAACTTGCTCATGGTAGACTAATTGTTGCTGCCTAGAAAGATAACCATACGTGGACAAGCTTAAGAACTCGGAAATGCGCGAAAGCTTATTCGGCCTCGACACATACCCACAGCAAATACAGCAGTCAAACTTGCAGTGGCTGTTCCGTCCGAGATCTCAGAGACATTAGAAATATATAACCGGAGCAGTGATATGCTTTGTTTTACATATTGTATACTCCGTACCTTGCGGCCAGCGCAACTAGTTACAGTGCCATGCCATTCATGAATGGTCATCACAGCAGGAAAAATTAGGTCTCCTCATCACCCTCCTCCTCATCGCTGCTGACCTCCTCACCCTCCGCAATCGCTTGTTCTCGTAGTTTTCTCGCACGCTCCCTCTTCTTGTCCAGCAAGTGATTCAGCTTTTTTGCGACGTTGAAGACGCCACCAGTGCCTGCCCCGCATGCAGCACACGAGGGGTTCTTCCGATATCGCTGCAGGGCGCATGACTCGCAAAAGTAATGGCCGCATTTCGTAATGATAGGACTTTTATAGGAGCTCTTGCAGATGATGCATGCAAATGGAATGCTCTCGAGAAGTTCTTCGTCATCATCATCCTCATCGTCTTCGGCACTCTTCGCGTCGCCGCTTCGTTTCGAGACGACCCGACCACTCAATTGCTTGCCTTTTGTACCAATCTCCCATTCTCGGTCCAGCTCCCAGCCTTGTTTGTAGTCCTCTCGAGCGTGAAGAAATTTGCAGGAATCTGCGCGACGGTTAGTAAGAGTTGTCTAGTCAGAAAACGAAGAAAAAGAGATACATACCTCCAAAACCGCAGAACCCAGTCTGCTTCCAGTCCTTACATACATCAGGCGCAAAGTCCATGACTGTCACCGTACGGACGTTGGTAGGCGCTTTGATAGGACCAAACTGCTTGGTAGGCGCATTGGGATTCTTCTGGATGAATGACGAATAGTTCGCGGCGCCCTTGTAGGTGCCATCGGGCGCAGATGGAGCGCCTGATGCCGGCCGAGTTCTTGTCGTCCCTAAGAGGTTCTTCTCACTCAACTCCTCGTCATACCAGTTGGAGTGCTTGGTCGCATCGTTACTCGAGGTCAAGGGAATAGCGGCTGCTTCGGTGGCGGGTTGGTCTTCGACTGTATTTCTGCGCGGGCCAGCTGTAGCCGAAGAGGCAGTCACTGCAGCGTTCTTGCGCCGTCGTTTGATCCGGCGACCTTCCTCGTCATCGGACGATGTGAAATCCGAGTCGGAATCTGAAGCAGGTGGCGGCGTATCGGGCTTCTTGCGGAAGTTGGCTTTGGCCTTGTTGGTGCGTTTCTTGAAGGAGATTTGAGGAACAGTGTCTGTAGCTTGAGTTTCTTCCGCCATCTTTCTTGGGACAAATATCTCCTTGGACAGAACTATCGTGCTGTGGCGCGGAGAATAGCTGCCCGCCGTTTACAAACGCAAGAAGAGAGCACATCATTATCGCAAATCACGTGATCTATTACTTATCATGTTATCACATGACTGATGAGCGCCTTGAGGCCTTGGGCATCAATCCACGTTCCTGGAGCGCGATCCATGGATGAGTGTGGCACCTTAGCCTTAGAACTGTAAACATGGACAATTGACTGTGTTTATTTCCATATGGCAACCAGTGAACGACGCACTATTCAGGAGATCTACCATTATGAAAGAGTTAAAGTATGGTCTTTGTCCTAACCTTGCTTAGTTTGGCTCGTATTATTGGACATTGGCAACGATAACAATGAATTATGGATCAAGCCTGTCAAATAGTTAGTGATTCCCCCGTCATAATGTACCATTTGAGCGCTCAAACAGTAAGCTAGATCTCTGATCTCTGACATATCAGATCATTATTGTTCTCTCCAGCATTGTCATATCCTGGGATTTGATCTCAATTAAGATGTTTGCAAGTAGATAGAAACAAAACGAAATAACTATCGCCCGCACGGCCCATACTATCATCCTAGATTGAAGCAACAAACAATGTGCCTCACTCCACCTCAACTCCATTCCTCGCTCTCCTCCCACTGTCTGTCTTCTCTCTCTCTCTCTCCCTCTCTTCTCTTCTTCCTTCCTTTCTCTCCCCACCCAACGAGTCGCTCTCGTCTCGTTGTTGTCCACCTAAACAGCCATTATCATCTTATTATTATCTATCTCTCTAGACTTCTTTTTTCTTTTCTTTTTTTTCATACACTCTCTTCCCCTCTTTTCGCTTTCCTTTCCTTGAATCTTTTCCCTCTTCTTGCACCATTATCAATTTACCTATTGTCTCTCTTTACTTCCCTTCTTTTCATTCTCTTTTCTATCCGATTTAATGCCCAATTGTACGACGTAGTCGATTCTAACTCCCTTCCTCCAATCTTGTAACCCACTATCTGGGTCTTATTCCCTGTTTTGCCAGTTCACCACTGCTGCTCGTTCCCGAGTGTTGAACTTGCATTGGTCTGTTGTGGTTGGTCCAACACCTTGGCTACATCCACGCACACTCCCCGGTACGTCCACAACGCGTTTGTTGTCATCAGCGTCGCCAGTGCAGGTTTTACGGCCCGTCCTACAAAACAAACATCGCTCGATTTGAAGGGTCGCATTCGCTTGCGATCGTTCTCTCTCGATATTTCACGATATTTGGTGCGCTATCTTCCTCTGCCAAGTCAGTTCCCGGACACTGCCACCTTGCCGACCGACGGTGCGCTTATCATTTCCCCTGTCGCATCCAACTTCGACATTCCAACGACGGATATCTCGTCGCTGTCGGTTCTTGTAGGTCGCACGACCTGAAAATCGAGAATATCAAACCGTGAAAGCTCGAAGGAAGGATCAGATGATGCTTTGAAATTGAGACCGTGATAACGAGGAACGAGGCAACGAGTTTCCGGCATTACAAGGCGGCTCTTTCCTTATTTGGTCAAACTCGATAGGGACCACCCCGTGGTGCGCGCGACCTAAGCAGGCAACAACATCACAGACGCGGAAGGCCAAGGTCTTTCTTCCAGAATGACTTCGATGGATGACCCGTTCGTCTCAAAAACGGAGGAGCGTGTTTCCCGCGATGCGCATAGGTACTCCTCTTTTGACACGCAGCTGTTCAGTCTTAATGCACCTTCTCCAGCACAGGCCAAACGAGCTCTTGAAGCTCATCTTGCAGAGACAGAGCGCAGACTTGAGGAGGCTTCGAAGCTCGGCACAGCGCTCATAGAACAGCAGAGAGAGCTCGAGGAAAAGTTGAAAGAGGTAGAACAGCAGCAGGATGAGAACCAGATCGGACCGGAACTGCGCCAGAAGCTCGTGGAACTGGAAAGGGAGTACAATGAAATTGGCCGTGAGTCTGCTAGAGCCTTCCTGGCTCCGAAACGTCTGGCGGGTGGCGATGAAGGCCACCTGGGCACGCCCTCGCTTGATCAAAAGGTAAGGCCAGAACGCTTCCTGTACCGTCGTCAAGATACTGACTTCTGAGCAACAGTCGCCACTCAGCCCCGTCCTATTCGCCAGCCAAGCGACCAACTCTCCCAGCAAGGTGAGCGTTCCGTCACGGAAACAACGAAACCAACCCTCCAGCCGGGTCCATGACATTGAATTCGCGACCGAGATTTCTACTTCCCTCCTGGCCCAGGTTCGTCAATTGCAGGCCATGCTGGCTGAGCGCGAGGAGGCGTTGAAGAATGCCAATCTTGAGAAATCACGTCTGGAGCTGGAGGCAGAAGGGTACGCGCAGCGAATCCGGGCGCTGGATGAGAGCGAGGAGCGCTACAAGGACGAGAATTGGAACCTCGAAACTCGAACTCACGAGCTTATGACCGCGATGAAGGAGGCCGCCGATCGCGAAAACAGATTAAACAGTGCCCTCGGTACCGTCACGTCAGAGAAGAACGCTATTGAACGGGAGGTGGAGGAGTTGAAACAGGCCAATGCTCGGTTGATCGAGGAACAGGCCGCTGCTCAGAAAGCCAACGACGCTGAGATTCACCTCCTGCGCAGGAACCTCAATGCTGGAGATGCCGAGAAGCTTGCCCTTCACAAGAAGCTTGAGGAGTTAAACTCCCAGAACGAAGAGCTTGCCAAAGTGATTGCGATGCGCCTTCGTCAGCAGGAAGCGCAAGCCACGCTCGAAGTGCCACGAGACCATCGTTCTTCGGACGACGACCAAGCCACGCCAGAGAACTCACCACCACCGTCTCCGAACAAGTTCACACCGCGTCACAATCACCTAGAGACCGAAACATTGCGCAGTTCCCTCGGCCATGCTCACCGTATGATCCAAAATCTCAAGAGCACAATTCATCGCGAGAAGACCGAAAAGATTGAATTGAAGCGTATGCTACAAGAGGCGCGGGATGAGATCGAACAACGTCGCCGTGAAGCTGTTGCCCCGGCAGGTCCGTCCAACAAACGTCAGAAGACCAAGCCAGATACCTTCAGAAAACCTGCGAGACCGGATCTGCTCGGAGCTGGCCGCAAGGGGAAGACTGAGGTCGAGATCCAAGACGCAGAGTGGGAGGACAACGCCATAGATGCCACCCCGACACGTCACGCTTCGACCTCGCTGACTCGCGCCCGTTCCGGTGAACAATCCTCTGGCTACCCCAGCGACGCTTACCACACTGCTACCGAGGTCGATGATGCATTTGAGACTGCCAACGAGCGGGAAACTGCAACTGAAAGCGAAGCCTTCCAGACTGGCATAGAGAGCATGGCTGATGGCAGCTCTGACACTGATGAGCTGACTGAGACTGAGGATACTGTACAGAGGACCCCTCGCCTACGTGTTTCTTCATCCTTGATCATGGCCAAGGCTCGGGACCGTTCTTCATATCACAGCACGGCATCCACTTCGGCAGATGAAGATGAAGGCGTCGATGAAGTGCTCGCCTCCCCCAGTCAAGCACACGCTCCCAGGTACAGGCTTAGGAAGAAGAGGAGTGTCCTCAGAAAAATCCGTCCGTCTGGAGAGGCCGCTATGGCTTACAGTAGCCGGCCTTCGAGTGCACGAGAGTCGCCTGCGACTAGCTTCACCCAAGATTCGGTTCCCCGAGAAAAACACAGTCTTTTCGAGGAACTCGCAGAACTTGAAGGCGGCGAGGATGACGACGGAACTTTTGGCGCTAATTCCCAGGCATCCACTCCCCGTATGCTTCCTACGGCTGATTCGCGACGACCCTCGGAGGCCATTCTGGACGTATCAGCCAAGCCCACGATGGTCGATTCAGGCATGATGACCGATCCCTGGCAACCTATGGAGTCTGCTAGTCCTGTAATTGCCGGGGTTGAAGAGGCTGTGCCTGTTGCACCAGCCACGCCAGTGAGGCCAACTACATCCAGTGCTGAAGCCGGTATGACGACCAAGGAGCCACCCAAGCTGGTCAATTCTGCGACCCAATGGACACCTCTCAAGTCAGGCGCCGAGTCAAATGGTGATCAAGTACCCAGCGTGCCGACCCCACCGAAGATGGCCTGGGACGATGCATCAGGCGCGGAGCGAGAGATGGCCAGTGTTCCTGCACCTCTAGTCGCTGAGCTAGACTTCTCGTCGATTTCATCCCAGGAGACCTCGCCGGTGGCTCCTGTATTACCGCAATTGACTACATCGTACTTCATCGGCGGAGTAACTGAACCGGTTGCACTTCCTTCTTCGCTGCCGCGAGAGCTGTCCTTGTCCTCCATATCCTCTCAGTCTACAGAGCCTCTCATGGCACGACTTTCAGGACCTGAGCAGGTATACGCTCCCCAGATGGTCGTCTCAACTGTCCTCTCGGAACATACAGTTCCCGTTGCCGTTACTCTTCCCGAGCCAGAACCGATGCCTGTTCTTTCTTTTGCGGACCACGCTACGAACACGGAGACTCCACAACTAGATGTCTCGACTATCTTCTCGGAACATACCCTACCCGTTGCTGCAGCACTCCCTGAGCCCGAACCTGTACCTATTATCTCTGTTGCAGACCACTCTACAAGCACGGAGTCCCCGGAGCTAGAGATTTCTTCGATACTGGCTGAGCAGACAGAACCTATCGCAGCTCTCCTACCGAAATCACTTTCCGAACCGGAGTCTGTTGTGATTGTTGAAGATAAGGTGGTGCAGTCTGAGAGCGCGGAACTGGACATCTCCCATATCAGCTCAGCGTCTACTGAGCCGGTTGCACCACAACTCCGCGAACGGCCAGTTTCTCGACTACCTGAGCTCTCATATTCGTCAATCCGGTCGGTGGAGACGCTTCCTGTGGGAGCCACTTCACCTGTTGCAACCATTCCCGGTCTGCAGCTGGCCGATGAGAATACACCTCCGGCGCACTTGAGGGATGCCCTGCAAGAAAAGCGGCCTACAGACTCCATGTCGATCGCTAGGGATACCCCAAGCGAAGATGCAGTTGCTGACACAGAAGACCGAAAGTCCGGTGCCGCCTTACCGTTGGGCACCATCTCTGGCAACGCCGTCACACGCGAGAGGAGCCGCCAATCCAACCAGGCTGATTCCGGTGCTCAGACAATATTGTCATCAAAACAAATTGATCAGATTCTGATGGAACGTGTCTCGTCGCGCCCATTGTCTCCTCCTGATAGCGACAAAGCCAAGGAAGCTGGACCCTCGCCCTTTGCAACGCCAAAGGCGCGTCCTCGTCCCACTCAACATGCTTCGACGACATCTCTCCAATCTTCTCAACGTCGCCCAGGGAGCTCTACGAGCTTGTCGTCTAGTGTGCACAGCCTCAGCCATCCACCATTACCCGTGGACCACCGGGAAGCTATCATGGCAGCCGAAAAGAAGTCCTTGGAGCAACGGCCCCCGTCTCCTGGTTTGATGGGTCCTCCGCTGGCGCCGGCTTCCGCATACCGATCAAACTCTACCCAGCGCCCACGGACTCCAAACGAATCTGGCATTCAGGTTCATTCCAAGACAAACACTTCGCGGGCCCAGTTCAGACGGGAAAGTCAAGTGTCCCGCAGATCATCCGTTTCTTCATTTGCATCAGAGCTTGAAGAACGGTTCAACATCCAAGCCTATCCCAATCACATGCCCAACGGTTACGCAGCGGGAACAGATCCTCGCATGATACAGGCCATCACTCAGACCATGATCGGCGAGTTCCTCTGGAAGTATACCAGAAGGACTGTGACTGGAGAGATCTCCAATACAAGGCACCGTCGTTACTTCTGGATTCATCCGTACACCCGGACGTTGTACTGGAGTGAACAGGACCCACAAACTGCTGGGAAGAATCAATTGCGGACGAAGAGTGTGCCGATTGAGGCTGTCCGAGTCGTTGCTGACGACAACCCTTATCCGCCAGGGCTTCATTGCCGAAGCTTAGAAGTCGTCAGTCCAGGCCGTCGGGTCCGATTTACGGCCACAACTAGCCAGAGACACGAGACTTGGTTCAATGCGCTCTCGTATCTTCTACTTCGAAACTCGGATGAATCTGAGGAAGGCCAGGATAATAATGTCACGCTGGAAGATATCGACGAGTTCAATCCCGGATTCCGTTCGCAGTCCCAGCAGACCACTCGCATGTCATTTTCCTCGTCGCGGAGCCGTACTGTCCGCAATGTGCCCAAGCAGCGTGCTGCATCCGCCATGTCTGTACGGCAGGCCGTAACCCCAGGCCGTGTATCGCCCGCGCTGAGCGCACCGTCACAGGGATCGGGCCTCCAAGTTCCTGATGACGGCCGACAGGGGTCGACATCCCGTCTCAGCACGATCCTCAACACGACGCTTAAGGGATCTTTTGGTCGTAGAGGCCGGCCGGGCTATGCCACCTCCAGTATCCACGAAGGGAGTCTTCCTCCGGACAGCCTGCATGAGCGTGATAGCGAAGAAGACTTTCGGCGTATGATGGAACAAGACTCCGATCGGCTGGAGAACGTCCGCGCTTGCTGCGATGGCAAGCACGATGTCAGTTCACTTTCAAGGACGAGTCGTTATAGCCCACGCGCCAATCGAATCCACTCGCATCACTGAACCAGCAGCTGTGCTGTTGTTGACGTCCACGAGTCTCTTTTGTGCAAAACCTCGCACTATCATCCGGCCCCTTTTTGATATACTGCGAATTTGATAAGCGTGCAAATCAACATCTGAGTCTTTTGACCAGCTTCGTCTTCATTCTTCTCTAAGTTCCAGTATCTGCATTCAGCTATCGCAACTTGTCATACGCACTCGCATACTCATCCGTCGACTTTTGGAACTTAACCTTGTGAACATTCTCCCTACTCTTCGGCGCCTATTCTTTCTCTGCCATTCTTCTGCACACATTGCATCATGAAATTTTTGGCTCCTTTTTCCTATGTTCGTATCATCAGTCTGACATCCACCTCGGTCGATCCTTCGTTTTGGCTTGACTCTTCCCATTATACAAATTCTGTGCCTAATGCACAAGTCTACCGCTCTGTATCCTTTTCATTTCCATTTTCTGTGATCTTGGCTCATTTCTGAGGCTGTAATGACGGTGAGAATGACTGGTTATAATAGGGTTGTATCACCACGTTGCTGTTGGCCGTCAGTGTTCTTGATTATTGTGATTCTATCTCTGCTTGCCATAGAGGCAAGGCGCAGGAAGTGTTCTAGGCACCAACATGAATTGAACATCAAGGGTTCCAAATAGTGTCTCATCCTGTAGTTTATATCATCCTATCTGCGAGATGGCCCTATCGGCCATGGCTATTTTCAAACACCGAGTTTGTTTCCTGAACGGGGTTCGCGTCGGCGAGTCGGCGATTGTCCATATCCTTTATCCGGTGTTTCTCTCCGCAATCTATCCATCATCTTCATTTGCTCTACAGAACGCTCATATTCTTTTCTGAGTGACAATAAATAGACGCATATACACCAACTTAAGATCAAGATGACGACCCATGAACCCACCACGAGAGAATGGATCCGGATGCTAATTGAACCTGGTCAGCTGCTGGCTTGGGCCATGACCTGTAAGTCTTTACTTCGGCGGCTGCGACACCCATACACAATTATGAACAGCTCCTCGCAATTCCTGGTAGATGCGCGCAACTATTGTAGTGCTTTGAACTAGTCTTCCTATGCTTGCATTTCTACTCTTAAACCCATTTCATATCCATTCATTGAAAAGATATACTAACACCCACAGATTACACCAAAGTCTGCTTCGAAGCAGTCTTCCACCGGGGCGAAGTCCTCGCCCCCCTCCTGCAAACAAGCAAGCTCCGCGACGAAGCCTTTGGCCGCTTCTGGGTTGATTTCAGCTGTACGCCCCCCTCTTCACCCCTCACTCTAATACCGATAGTGATAGCTACGATGTACTGATACTTACGTGCCCAGCCGCGCGCCCAACAAGCACCCAACAAGAAAACCAAGATCAGGACCAAGATCAAGATCAAGCACCACTCCAGCCACCTCAGATCCAAAACTCAACGGACCTCATCCCCCCCATTCTAGCCAGAGCGTCGGGTGTCGTGCTAGACGTCGGCCCGGGGACAGGGACGCAGATGCCGCTCCTCCGCCTGCGCGCGCCCGCCATCAAGGCGATTTACGGCGCGGAGCCGTGCCGCGGTCTGCATGCGGAGTTGCGCGCGCGCGCGGAAGAGGAGGGGCTGGGGCAGACGTACCATGTTCTGTCCTGTGGTGCTGCGGCGGGGGAGCTTGTGCCGGAGTTGCAGAGGGAGGGGTTGCTTCCTGCTGGGGCCGGCGATGAGGATGTGGAGCGGGTTCTGGCGAGCGCGGGCGGAGTCTTTGATACGATTGTGTGTGTGCGGGTTTTGTGCTCTGTGCCGGAGTTGGAGAGGACGGCGCGGGAGCTGTATGCTCTGCTGCGGCCTGGGGGGAAGTTGCTTGTTGTGGAACATGTGGTTAATCCCTGGCGGACGGCGAAGGGGTCGATTGTGGCGAGGGTGATGCAGGCTGTGTATGGGTTCTTTGGGTGGAGTTGGTTTATTGGGAATTGCTGCTTGGATCGGGATACAGAGACGGCGTTGCGGGCGGCGGCGGACAGGGACGGGGGGTGGGAGGTTGTGGAGTTGGAGAGGTGGTTTGGACGGTCTCCGATACCGTATATTTCCGGTGTATTGGTGAAGAAGAGTACGTAGATGAGTGGACGGCTGTAAGAAAAAGAAAAAAATTCGGGATTTATTCATGTAAGTACATGCATCTAGGGTATCATGGTCATAACATCTTGAATAGACAGGCTGCAATGATGGTTGAGAAGGAAAACGAGATATAGTCAGCTGGGTTTCGGCCGTCCCGGCGGCCAAAAGTCGAAGAGATCGAGAGCCTCGGACGTCCAAGGCCCCTGTTCCGGCGGATTTTCCTCGATTGGGTATTTGTCGACCGATCCCCTCGATAGCAGGGACCGTGATTGCACGCTGGTGCTCGTTGTCAACGCTGTCGGATCAGACAGGGTTTTGCGGAGTCCTTTGGACGCGGATTTCGGTGGATGCATGTTTTGCGTCCTGGCACTTTGGTCGATTGAAGATGATCCAGTCACCCTCAGTTGACCAGGGCTATTGCTCGTTGTTGGTTGTAAGGTTTGCGCCTTGGCTGTAGACGTCGTAGCTTCCACGGTACTTCGTGTTGTAGGGCACCCCAGCCGCTCTCTATGGAGAATTTGAGGTTGATCGAGCACTGGCTTGTCAGCCACCTGTTCAAGAACGAACATGGTGGACTCAGTCGGTATGAAGTCCATATTAGTCGAGGTAGGATCCGGAGTCGGAAAAGGTTCACTCTCGCTAGACAAGTTAGCCAAGGCCCTGGTGATGTCTCAGAGCACATACTAACTGCGATCTCGACTGTGTTGGCACGATTTTCCTGTCTTGAGCGCCCGAAGGCACCGTACGTGCTGTTTTTCCAGGTGTCTGATTAGGGAGCAACGCCTGATACATGAGCTTCTTACGAGGCTGGCTTGTGGATAAGCGGAGTGTTTTCGTTGGCGCCTCCGAATATGAGTGCGCCGAGGATGATCTTGATGCTGAAGACGGGGCGTTGTTTGAGTTGCTTGACGAGTTTTGATGCTTCCCAACGTCGCGCTGAACATTGTCAACGGCTGGATCCTTCATTACCGGTAAAGCAGGCCCATTTGAAATAGGATTCTTCTTCGGCAGGGCGACGGTTCCTGGGATTTTGTTTGGCTTCTGTGGTCTTTCTGCTGCGTTCTCACCGGATGAATCGGACAAATCGACGAGAACCGGTGGATTGGCGACGGAGCGCCTTGGATGTTGCTCAGTCGGTACTTCAGCCGGGGTGGTCTTTTGACGTTTCGCCGCTCTTTCAGACGCTAGCCGATTGTCTTCCTTCTGTTTCTGTCGTTGGCGTTCCTCGTAGGGCGAAACAGACAAGCCAGCAGGAGTCTTCCGAATGCCTAGGACATCATTAAGGGACCGCGGTTGTTGAGAGGACATCGAGGACCGGAGGGGAGCAGAGGCACGAAATGAGGGAGCTGACGGTTCCGCTGCTTGCGTCGGAGACTCCTGCGTCTTCTTCTTATTGCTGTACAGCGTCGACAGGTCTGTCTGCGTCTGCTCCACCGGCTCGCAAACTTGGATCAGCACGCCTTTGTCCAGCTCCAGCTCGTCACCGTCCTGAATCCCGTCGTCCTGTCGCCAGTGCAAATCTCCAATGAAATAGCCGGTGGTATCGTAGACCATGACCCGCTTGTTGAATGTGTGATAGCGGAGGAAGCCATCGTGCCAGCGCTTCGCTTTGCGTCGGACATCATGGGTGAAGAGGCATCGAAATTTGATGACGGGCGCGGTGTTCTGCGTTGCGGGAACGTTCAGACTGGGGGTGCCACGCGGGGTTGCTGCTGATGATAAGGGGATCGACATAGCCAGAGTTTGGCGTCCCTCTGATGGGGCACCATCGGATCCAGAGCAGGAGACAACCGTGTTGACCTGTCTGGATGTTGAACCAAGCGAAGGTCGCGAGGACAACGCGGAACCAGAAAAGAGAAAGTAGGCGCGGGAGCCTGAGGCTGCACTGTGGGGTTGGCCAGTTGACGGTCTCAACTTTTGCGCGTATACGGAACGTTACCTGGTCGCAATTGTCACAATACAATGTTAAAATATCTCTTGCTTTCATTTGATCCAATCACATCCTCTTGAACGCATGGTCATAATGGCCATCGGTTGAACAGGAACACAGCTATCAGACCCTCGATCCATGGCACCCTTGATTGCCAATCATGGCTGTAGGAATAGCCTTGATCTACACACCTCCTGCCAATTTCCACAGTCTAGACATCGATATTATTTGATGACAGGCTGAAACACAGCCTTACTACTAAGGTACCAGGTATCATTGTGATCTGATACAGGACGCGAATTGGCTGCGTCATCCAGGCTGCTTCTTTTCCTTCTTCCCCTTCCCCCTTCGTTACTGTTATGTTTCTTCTGCCGACTATTTTGCTTCGGCTCCCTTCCCCGCGATTGTTGATTCCGCTGGAACCTAAAGATCCTTCCTTTATCTATGGATTCGATTCCTTCGCAGTTGTCAATCTAATCTGACCTCACTGTTTTCCTTTACATCTTTAGCTTCGTTCCCCACTGTCGCCAAACACCCACCCCTATCACCACTTAGCACCAAGAAGCTCAACCAACCTACAAGATGCACAGTGTACAGAGGCAATTTGGCAGGTTTATGAAAAGATCCGCAGATGAAAGCCAGGTAGCCATTCTTCTCAAGGACTTTGATGAGACCGACAAGCTATTGGGCAGGGTAGGTCTGCCTGTTATTTTTAGCCGACTATCCTATCCCCCCGCGCGCATTTCATTTCGCAAACTCACCATCAATAGATCGTCGAGTCGACAAGTGCCTGGCGCGATGCGTGGTCATCCATCCTGCTGCATCAGGAGCGAATGCTCGGCGAGTTCGACGGTATCTATGCTCCTATCATCGGCTCCTCCGATCCGACCTTTGCGAAAGCCGCCCCAACACCAGAAGCAACACTAGCCAGGACACAGAGACTGCGAGAGGAATACGAAGAGTTGCGCAAGGAGCTGACAGAGGAGCTTAATGCCGTGGATCAGCGGATGATCAGGCCCGCCTCGCAGGCGAAAGAGTACCTGGCTCCGTTGAAGAAGACCATCAAGAAGCGGGAAGATCGCAAGGTCGCTTGGCCCCTGTTCAGCAACTCAAGGCTTCGAGGTTAACGTTTGCTTAGCTCGACTACGAACGCTACCAAAGTCGCGTCGACAGCTACACCAAGAAGACCAAGCGCTCAGACCGGGATAACGCCGCGCTCGCCAAAGCAGAAACCGAACTCGCAAAAGCCACAGAGGTAAGACCCTAGCTATTGAGGCGTCGAACCCCGTCTAACCCCAGCAGGAATACCACGCCGCAGACGAGCACATCCGGAAATGCCTCCCCCCCTTAATCAACGCCGCATTCTCCCTGCTCCCCCAGCTGCTAGCCACCCAGATCGAGATCCAAAACACCATGCTGGCACACTACTACACCGTTGTGCATAACTATTGCGAGGGGGAGCACTTCCCCTCCCTCGCTCCACCCATGGAAGACATCATCGCTCAATGGGAACGAGACCTGCACCCAATCCAGCAGGAAATCGAGTCATTGGGCTGCCTCGCCAACGGCAAAGTCGTCCGCATGTCCCAGGCCCCAGACGACCACGGCAACGTCAACGCCCTCTCCAGCCGCCTTACAAACGGCCTCAATTTCCGCCGTCGCTCAAGCGGACAGGGTGCAGGTACAGGCACATCACATCCAGTGCCACCACTGCAGCCATCCGCCCCCGCACCATGTCGCGATCACGATCGTGAGCGTGAGCGTGAACGTGAACGTGAACGCACGAGTAACAGCAGAGTCCCTCCCACCCTAACGCCAAACTACGAAACTAAACCCCTCCCCGTCTACGAGACAAAGCCCCGTCTGAATGATCTGACCCCGTCCTCCCTCTCGCCTAATCTCGCCGTGCCCAGCGCGCATCTCTCCCCCTCAGCGACCCCGCACAGCGATTCCCACCTCCCCGTCCCGGGCTCGGAATACGCCCAGACGCCGCTGACCGGGCTCTCCCCTTCCTCCCGATCGGACTACTTTAGTCTCAACTCCCGAAAAGCATCTAGTGGCTCGACGGTGTCATCTCCGGGCTTTGCTGCCGCTGCAGCCGCGAAGAAGAAGCCGCCGCCGCCTCCGCCTCCTCGCGCCGGTTCCTCGAACGGAGCGCTGTATGTCACTGCCCTCTATGACTTTGGGGGCCAAAGTGCCGGTGATCTGTCCTTCCGTGAGGGCGATCGGATTCGGGTCCTGCAGAAGACGAAAAGCACCGATGACTGGTGGGAGGGGGAGCTGCGCGGAGTCAAGGGGAGCTTTCCAGCCAACTATGTTCAATAAGCAATACAAGCAATACCCTGTGTGTCTATGTCGATAACCTTTAAAAAGCCCAAGTTAATAAGGAGTACTCGGGAATTTTGGCGGTCATAACTCAATTTGGCTCCTTATGTGTAAATACAGGAAGTATACTGGATAAAGCGCCAAAGACGCAGATGATCTGATCAAAGCGCCACTATCAAACCTCGCATGCCAAAGTGAATGCAATCCTCTGGCTGCAGATTCAATAAAATCATACAAAGGCTTCCTCTTGCGCGCCGTCTTCCGAAATTTTACTTCCAATTTGTCTCCGTCTACTGCTCAGAAACATCTCCACCATGTGCTTGCTTGACACCGGCGAAGGCATGTCGTGTGGATCTCCAAACTGGCCCAATTTATCCGGCCGCTCGCCAGCCCTCGCATTCTCGTTGGTCGTTCTTCTAATTGAGCGGCACTGCTGAGCCCTCGAATCCGAAGAAACTGTCAGACGCCGTGCCGAGTACCTACGATACCGCTCGCTTGCCAATTCTGTCTGCTGAGAGTCCGCTCCACGCCTCTTAGGGGTGGGAGAATCAAGTGTCTGAAGTCGATTGCTTGATCTCGCTTGCATTGGCGACAAGGCAGGCTCATTCTCGCGCGTGCGTACTCCCGTAGTAGGCAAAGTGTATCCCTGAGAGTAATTCTTCACACCGGGAGAAGAGAAGACCGAATCCGCGGATGGGGAAGCCTGCTCTTTTGCATGCTCTTTTGCATGCTCTTTTCTAGACGGTACAATCGTGCGGACGCTCGACGACCGACTGAATGGCCGGGAGAAATTATTGCTTGGTACAACTTTGCCGTCGGTTTCCATTTCACCCTCGGAAATACTCTGAGACAGATAGCTTGTCTGAGGGTACGGGGGTTCGCTGTTTCCGGAGACTTGGTGAGGAGCTGATGATAGAAAGTCCCCTGCCTCCTCGTGAATCTGTGCATCCTCTCTGTAGTGATCTCTAGGGGGAACGATTGTCTCGAATCTTGCCATCTGTGAAGTCATCCATTGTTTCCATTCAGCACTGGGCCGCACTCGGTTTCCACTGGACGAAGAGCGAGCAATACGCTTTGGGGAGCAGTAAGCGGTCCTCTGGCTTTCATAGATGGTCACCATCCCTGGCTCATCATCCGTTTCCGACGAATACAAATCGATAGTCTGATCTTTCCTTTCAGGAGAGTTCCCACTGGTGGTCCGAGAATAGATGCTAGGAGAGTTGGAGAGAGTTTCTGGGTCGGCATGACTGGCAACGATCACGCTTCGGGAATCGTCCTCGGTGTCTTCAGCACTTGTAGCGGCAGGTTCCTCTGCATTGCCGACTGGACTGAAATCCAGGGTTGCGCTCGCTTTTTTTGGCGTGCTTGATATCCTTCGGGAAGGCATGGACGACCGGGGATGGCGCTGCGTCTGCTTCTGAGGAGTTGAAGTACCTGCGTTGGCCGTGGCAAATGTCCTGGAAGTCGCAATCGATGCATCACTTGGTATCTGGCGGATGGTCTGCTTGCTGCGCCTGGGGCGAAGGGAAGACGTGCGCGCTGGTATGAGTCGATGCTCTTTGACTTGGCCCACTACAACATCCTCACTGGGACTTGGCGTATCTTCTCTGCCGATCCGCCTCAACAACGCATCGTACAAGTGCTTACTGTCGATGGAACCGTCTGGTCGTATTGGACTTGGTCTTGGTGGAAAGTCGGAACCGGCACACCTGTTGAAGTCTCCTTGTTCGTTAATGATGGACAGACAGTCACGCTCGGGTGCTCTGCGGGTTGCGATCGTATTTGCGACGGTTGAGTCAGCCCAACTTGTTACACGAGAGCGGGAAGTCGCAAGACTTTCATTGCTTCGAACACTCCGCACCGTGGGTGGTCTGCTTTGGCCGATGGCCTCACGGGAATGGTCAAATTCCTCGGCGTGGCTAAAATCGCCATCAGATATGGTCGACGATGGGCCATAATCGTGTTGCTGAAGTGAGGAGGGTGAAGCTTCCGCTTGTCCCGGAGCCGTTGATGCCTTTGACAGCCCCAAAACTCGCTTCAACCCTCTCTTGATAGACGAAGAAAGAGCCCGCGCTTTTCCTCGAGAAGAAACTCTTTTGGACTGCCCCGCCGATGGTGACGCATCTGTGTCTATACCCGAGCCGCTGGTAGTGCGAAATGTCTTTCTGAAGGGTTTATGCTCACGCCTCGGCTTGAGCATGGTGATGGACGATTGTCTGTGGCTACTGGCTTGTCCGACCATGTTCTCCTGGAACTGACTGCGTGCGAGTTGGATAGCTGCTTCTTGACTCTGCGTGTGGCGGACGGCTCTAGGAGATTGACCACTTCTCAGAAAAGACATGGAGCGTCTCAACGTCCTGTAAGAGCGGGGCGTGTCAAATTGCTCTGTGTCGTTGATCCTCCGAGCATATGCATCAGGTGAGAATTCGTGAGAGATATACGAAGAACGCTGTCTGGTTGAGAACATCGAACGTGCTTTACGAAGCCGGCGATAGGAGGAGGGCAACGAGGAGTCACGACCATCCAGGCCTCGAAACTCACTTATGGGCGGCAAGGCCGCCGAGAAAGTGAGGTCATCGTCGCGGCTCTCTATATAGCTCGCAACGGATCGGCGAGAAGGTGAAGCGTCTTCGACTGATGGATTCTTGGCCGCGGCTTGCGTGTGACAGGGCGGCCGAGGTGGTCTTCTCGATGGGACTGCCATGCATTCCGGGCCACCTAGACGGTCATACGAGTGCTTCGAGTCTGCAGATGATCTGTCCGAGGAGCGCAGCATGGCGCGAGAGGCAGCTGCGGCGGCATGCTGTCTGGCAATAGACGGGTCGAAGGGCTCTGAGGTTAGGGAGGACTGACGCGATCTGCGGATGGAGCGAGCGGACTGACTTCGACGCAGGCGATCTTTTGCGGTTAGGGATATAGAGGACATTCTTGGCATGATTTATTCGAAGGGGATGTAGTTGAGTACTGATGTGAGCTAAGGGATGAGTATGGATGAGGGAGGTTCTACAACATGGAGTTACCTTATCGTTGGGGTATGGTGTTGAGCAATGGCAACCGCGCTTCGCGAAATAGAAGGAGCTTGGGGGTGCAATAGACGCAACATGATGGCAACAGATCCCAGGCGCAGCTTCCTTGTTGCTTCATTATCTACGAACGTTGGCAGTTGTGGCAACAGCCAGTATCTTGCAATTCCTCCGCCTTTACCCATGACCAGGAAAAGAGAGACACAAGACCTCCATCGGATTCAACCCAGCGAACTACTGATTGCCCCCGGGTGATATTTCCATGTGTATGGAAACGCCGAGAATCTCTCTTCCAATATGAGTTGTTTCGAGTCCCTTGTGATCACTGGTTGAGTCACGCATGAAGATAGTACTTCTTCTGCGGTACATCTTCATAAGAAAATCGAGAAAGCAAACTGACAGCCTCTTGATTCCCCTTCTTCCGCGCCAGTTGAATGTCGTCCGGGTCAGGATGTACCCCATACTCAAGCAGAAACCTCAGTATCTCCATCTGGTCATAATAAATCGCAACGTAGGTGGTACTATAGAACACCGGCTCCTCCTCCGCACACAAGCCGTTGCAGCAACTCCAAAGGTCATCCTCCGTGCCGCCAGGCTCCAGAAGGGAGCGACTATCAATCTTCCGAAGAAGCTGGACGTGATTTCTATCCCACCTCCTGTCGTAGCAATCGCCCAGCCGGTTGGGATCCGCGCCGTGGGCGATGAACAATCTAACCATTTCTAGGTACCCTTTGGAGATTGCAGCAAACAGCGCATCACTCGCATAATACGTTCCGTGGAGTCCGTTCACCAGCAGGAAGCGCAACATGTCCGTATCACCGCGATTCATGGCCATCGGCAGAACATACCAGCAATGATCGCACGATTCGTGGTGCAGTAGGGTGCGAATGATCCGGTGCTGATTATGCTCGATTGCCCAAAGAAGCGGACACGTATTCAATCCGTAGCAGGATTCTCCCCTCTCACATAAAAGGTCCACGAGGTCCTCGTGGCCGTTCTGCACGGCGAGATAGAGCGGCGGGACGTTGTTAATGTAGCCAAATGGACACCGGAAGATGGTCTGCGCGCCGTGGCCGAGAAGAAGATTGACTACGCACTTTGAACCAGCTTGCACGGCTACCAACAGCGCACGCTGAATGAGGATCGTATCCTCGACCCTCCAGTTGGTGGTGCATAGAGGGTGTGTGTACGGGTTGCTTACACGGTGCCCTTGAAAGGACTCGGCGGCGAGTGCCATCCGCTTTAGACATTCCATAGCGAGTCCTTCATCGCCATGGGCCGCGGCGCAGCATAGAGCGTCTCCATGGCAAGCTTGGTAGCTGTGTTTCCTGAGATATCCTTTTAATAGATGGAACAATCCACAAGAGGACAGGACGAGGGCCCTGAGGTCCCTGTAGCAGGCCAGATGGGTGGCGATCAGAAAGATGACTTCGTTTGGGAGTTTGGAGAGGGACATGACAAAATTCAGTCCGATTAAACGCAATTGTAGGGATGTTGTAGATTTAGGAATGGAAACGAAGTTGACGAGGCTGACGAGGCTCTGCGGGGATTTGATCACTCCGAGGCTGAGACTCCTACGATGCGATGATGCTTACTGTCATTGTACTGTTTGTATATAATATGAGCAGTATATCCACAAGGGTCATCAGAAATAGCAACTAAGCCTGCTACATTCCAGCCACAAGTGCATACACAGTATTCTCTAGGTTCTGGATGCACCAGTCATCTTTACACTGTATAATAGAAATATAAATATTAAAGCTACTATATAGCCAGTCCTTTACTTTAGATATATAATAAATAGTAGGTAAGCTTAAATTAAGATAATATATAATAATAGTCTTAATCTAGTTACTATTATTATAGAGGTGTATAAAGAACCTGGACCCTGGTTTACTTATTATCTACTATTATCATAAGGCAATAAGGGTGGGTCCCGGCTTAATAATCGGCTTAATAATCACTTAATAATCAGCTGTAATTCAGTCCTAAAATTGCCTCTTTTAGTTTAGCCTTAATGCCTCCCTCTTAGGCCTAAATTCTCTATGTTATTCTCTGCCACTTTCTTAAGGCCCTGAAGCTTCTACCCTTCTAAAGCCACAGTCTCAGGCCCTTTACCAGTATATCTACCCCTTATTTAGGGCTACCCTTATACAGATACTGTACCTCCTGACCCTTATAATATACTATTACCCCTATTACAGGCTACTAAGGCTGTATATAAAGGGTTACGCCTTAAAGGATTAATATTAGTTAAGGTGAGGGCCGAAGGTCCAAACCTGAAGATGCGAGCAGAGTGAGCGCTCGCCAGCTTGTAATATCTAAGCTAATAAAGAATATTAACCTCCTCTTCCTTAGTAGATGTATAAGTAATCTCCTATTAAAGAAGGTGTTAGGTCTTTACTATAGTACTAGGATAGATAATTAGGCTCTTGCTTTAATAGTAATGGCTATCTTCTTACTCCTTTATTATCCCCTAAAATAGTTATAGATAGGAATAACTAGCTCTTTCTTAACTAATCAGGATGCAATAAGTGCGCACAGAATCTGCTCCACTATAGTTACCTACTCTTGGTCTACCCACATCATTAGAGAAGAGATTCCAATGGTAAATGTATCATAGTACACTTATCATATGGAGCCTGGACCGAAAGATCGAGGAGTTAGGTCAGCCGTCAGGCTCTGATAAATAGTCATCCATTCTGATCAATCTTTCGCGTTGTTCAGGACCAGTTTATTTGGCCTTTGGACATATCGTTAGCACAAAGTACACGGATGCTCTCAATTTATCCTAGAGACCACCGTGGGCTCCGAGGCATCATTCCGCCATCCTGGTAGTGTACTCGAGGGAGCAGGATAAATATCGACGCCCTTAACAGCTGTGACGACGGGTACAAGAGATTGGCCATAATGGTGCCTAGGGTGTGTCACGTGGGGCGTACTTCGATCAATGACTTGGAATGGAATAATTTTGAGTATCCTGCCTCAAGTCGCGCATATCTTAACTCTGCGTACGGCTCCAAATTGCCCAAGGAACCCCGTTCATAGCATGATTTTTGCCTCCCGGGCTGCGAGTCCTGGGCGTGTTCACGACCGTCTTCACATTCCCTCTTCCTTCCAATCACCCACCCAGTCTCCCCAGGAATTGTTCTCATACGGTCTTGAAAAGGGAGCAGGTGAGGAGTATGTGCCGCATAGTTTATGTAGCCTTCCCCCGGCAGCAGTCCTGAGTTGTATATCTAGTACCCCTCAAAATTAGCCCTCTTCTCACTTCAGTCAGCTTCAGAAGTTCTTCACTCATCTGGTTCGAGATGTCTACCGCAGTCGTCATCGCTCAGATTGAAACATGTCTGCACAAGGCTGAACGGCTAAAGCCAAAGGTTGACAGGCTACATCCCACAGATGAGCAATGGGACACGTTACTTGACTTGACTTCCCGACTATCGGAATCCACACAACTCCTCCGAGAGAAATTACGACTTCGAAGGGAAGTCCGTTCCACCCAAATACAGAACGATGCGGAGAAATACAGGAGCCAGGCAATCACTTCCAGACATGCGCTCTGCGAGAACGGAACATTCAAAGCGACAATCTTTCGAAGGAATCTCCTCACCATATTTGGCGACACAAAAATTTCGATGTTTGATTCTGCCAGAACCAGATGGAGGAAGGAAGCTGCACGGAGAAGAAATGAAGCTATTCGAGGCCTTAATCCGGACGCTATTGTTACGTGGTCAATCGCCTTTGAACCGAGTCTCTGGGCCAGCGGCAAAATCGCTTCTGATGTTTTCGAGACTATGACAGAGGATCTTGAAGCAGAACCCCCTTGTGAGTGGCCGCCCGCAATAATGGACACATTGGACAAACTCCAAGAAGAAGAAGGCATTCTGCGAGAAAGTCGAGAATACAAAAGGTTTCGCGAAAGTGAGTTTCTCCAGAACCACGCCGAACAATGCTCACGAAGTGACTAGCCATAAACCTGCCCTACAGAGACAGGGAAGCCCAACCTCTATCTAAGAAGCGAAAACGGAATGCAGGAGTCGGATCTTCGAGTGAACGATCCTCGAGTGACCAAAGAGATAATGAGAATCAATCGGGCAGGCGTAAGTAATGCGTGTTTATATACAAAACCTTGCTAATAAGAATACAGAAATCCAATACATGTTTTCGAAGGCACCCGTCGACAAAATACCGCTTCTGGGGCCTCTCCTTTCCAACGCAATTCAGGCTAGCAATCAGTGGAAGATGGAAAGAAACCTCGATGAGCCGATAACTGATTGCTGCAACGCACTGCTACCAGAAGGAGAACATGAGGACATCTCCATCACGTTATGCGTTGGGCGCAGGGAAGGCGTCCAAATGATCGACTTGCTCAAGCAACGGAGGACTTGGTCAGCTTTACCCAACCATCTATCACTTCGACCTCAAATCCCGGAGGAACAGTGTGCTCTCCGGCCATTGTAGTGTTTTTGTAAGTCCAAAGTGGCGGTGTCCCCTTGACTGTTTTTGGATCAGTGATCCTAATCAGGGCAGCTCGGCCATATATAGTTCTCTCGCAATCTTCTGCGTCAAAAATGCGTGCCGCAACGTATTCGAGTCCTTCATCGAGGGCGTTTGAACACTATTCCGATGTAACTTTAGCATTGGACAAGAAATACGAATGCGATAGTCGTACCTTATCGGTCATGATGGATGGTCGGTCAAAGAACCTGCGACTTCCCAGCTTTTAATTTGCGATTCGTTGCAACATCAACCACGTCCAGAACAATATCCAGTGTACGAGCAACACAATACGACACAAGCGGTAGTTGAATAGTTGATATTCTGATGCAAATGCCGGATGTAATGTTTTCGATCTTTGGCACGGAGGGTTATCGTTCCAATGTCGCACACAAAGTGGGGGAGCCTATCTCATGAGGGGTTGCGCGCCTAGGATACTGATTAGTTGTAGTTACCGCACAATTTGATGGCATAATGGTGGTTAATTGCACACCTACTGTCACTTATGAGTAGCCAAAGAGATTCTAGGCTATGGATATCGGACGCGGGAAACAATTAAAGTAGTTGTTTGTATTGATGCCCGATGGTTGGTACTGAGGTCATCGGAAAATTGATACCACGTGCCTGGTCTTTAGTCATTGGAACCAACAGTCGCACTCAACGCTTTCCCAAGGAAATTCGTCGCGACAGATTGACTGGCCCACTGAAGAGCCAGATGAATGTCATTTTGATGGAGTGATGAATTTCTGTGTGGCTGGTTATCTGGAAGGACAAATAGTTATATCTGATTTCGGCACAATAAAGTACATTTACTCTTATCATAAAGAAATAACGGTGGGTCCAGCTTAATAATCGGCTTAATAATTGCTTAATAAGCAGCCAAAATTCGCGAAATTCCCTCTTTGGGTTTAGCCTTTATGCCGCTTATTTCAGGCCTTAATTTTGTATTTTCCTATCACCTTTCTAAGGCCCCTAAAGGTCCTACCTCCTGAGAATTAGATATTAATACTAGATGATGATTTGATCTCCCTACTAGAGAATTAATATTACCTAAGGTGAGGGCCGTAGGTCCGAACCACAGTTGAACTCTGCCCAAGTGTAATTCGGCGTAGCCAAAGCTGGAGCGAGCGGAGCGAGCGCTAGCCAGTTTGTCATGTATGCAATGTATGTCACGACATTCTTCATGGCAGCATGAAGCGAGGCCAGGCGTCGTCTGTTCCCGTGGAAGACCGTAGTATCCATGATGCTTGTATTATGGCAACTTCAGCCATGAATTTCAAATGAGCCCTTCAGTCTTAAAGCCGCAAAATTGATTCAGCATTGACAGACTCGAACTAAATCTGAGCGCATACGAAGCAGCAGGCTAAGAGGAGCATGTACGGAGGGTCTCTACAGTATAACAGGAAGGAGGGCCGAACCTTGGCTATCCTTGAATTCAACAAGTGACTGCAATTTGCTGACTGTTGTCTGTTGCTGGCATGAAGGAACTACATGACAAAAAATTCCAAGAACAAGTTAATCAACAACTTATGTTTGACCGGAAGTAAATGAGCGACTAGTCAGTAATAGCAGCAATGTCTCTTTCCATCAGCACCATGCTCCAAGAGCCAGCTAGATGGATAGGTGTCGATCGTGCGTGGAACGGCCTTAGGTGCCCGCAAAGGTCCAGCAACTGCCATCAACATCAGCTTCCATAAAGCAGAGCATATAGGGAAGGGTTTGTTACGTCACTGAGATCCTGGGACCTCTGCACCACATTTTTCACAAGGAAACGGCTCTGGGTGAGTCACGTTGTTGAATCCACACTTTGGGCACTTCATCTTGGATATGGAGATTTGTTCAATAAGTACTTGAGTAGTATGGCTTGGAATATTTAAGAAAATGCGAATGCCTCTTAGATTTCCGGGTCGAGGGCGCCTACTTATACAGTAGAACAGCTTGTGGAATGGAGGTAAAGTGAACGACACAAGGCTTAAAGAAGTGTACTGTCCAGTCCGTTGCTTCTACTGCCAACCAATTAGAAGTTGTTTAGGGAACCTATGAATGCCAAACTTCTGCACACATGCATAAACAGAGAGATTCCGAACTTGTAGATTTATGACTTCTGGATCGCAGTACCAAATGTGTCCTGCCTTGGGTAACTGATTCACGGGACGCGGCTTTTGCCAACCAATAGGAAGTAGCCCCTCTATGGCAGACTGTAGCTATAATGTGGACTTTTAGATTTTTTTACTATTTACCATATATATTACCTACTACCACTACCTCCATGAACTTCCTATCTATATGTAGTAAAGCTTGGTTGCTATAGCAGCATACTAATAATATATTAGAGGTAGTATCTTCATGAACCTAGAGAGATATAATTAAATACTTAGATAGTATAAATATTAAATGCTTATATATCACAGTAGTTTATTATATAGTATATTAATAGTTAAGTAACCTAACTTACCTAAGAAAAATATATTATATTTATATATAGAATAAACTCCTTAGTTCTAGCTATTTATCCATCCTATTTCTAAGTAAACTATTATGCTATTAGAGATATAATTATCTAATAAAACTAAGTTTATAATAATATTATTAAGCTTTAATTCCTATTATAGACTAGACCTAAGTATATAGTATAGACTATAGAGTTATTAGAGCCTTACTATCTTAGTCTCTATAGCTAGGATATCTATAGCCTATCATATATTACTATATCTATTAAATATAATATATATCTTTAGTCTGGATAGTAATATGCTTCACATGAATAGCAGTAAGATTAACTACTATTAATAATATTTATTAGTATATTAAGTATAATATTTATAATAGAGTTTCTTACTTATAAACTCCTAGACTAGCATTACTTCTGCTATCTTTTATAAGACTATTAAGGTAGTTACCTGCTATAGCTACTCTTAATTATTAATTAAATAGGTAATTTCTCTAACTAGATACTAGAAGGGGAGCTTAGGTATGAGAAGATTAGTACCTTTCTAGTACTATTAAATCTTATAGAGTATAGTAGCTAACTCTTAGTTAGACTTATTATTAATACTAAATATATTAGGATATACTATATACTACTAGATTTATTATATCTTTTTTTATACTTAAAAATAATACCCTTCTAGTTAGGGAGGGTCTTGTGTATATCTTTTTAGATTTTTTAGGCTATATTCTTCTTTTAAGTAGTAGTAGTAGTAGCCTTATAAGTAGTAATAATAGTATAGCTTTTAGCTATAGTATAGTAGTACTTAATATACTAATCTAATAAGTATAGCAGGGAGGTAATAATAAGGAACTAAGAATAGTAGAGATAAAATATAGACTTAGTAGCTCTAAGAGATCTTAAGATAAGACTTAGATATAATAAAACTAATAAGAATAGATAGAGAGGAGTTAATATTATAGTATAATAGTAGTTAGAGATAGGAGACTATAGTATAAAGTAGTTAAGTTTTATTATATTAGTATAGAATAAAGAAATTTCCTAATTTAGCTAAATTAATGCTAAAGTATTCTTTATTTACTATTAATAGGTAATATATTAAATTTTTATTTAGGCCTTACTAGTATCTTACTAATATCTTACTTTAAATATATTTTTTATTATTCTTATACTTCTACTATCCCTTAAACCTTCTACTTTTACTATCTTTTAAATATATATTATATTTACACTACCTCACTATATTAAACTACTCTGTATATATTAATATAGCTTAGTCTAATCTTAAATTATAACCTTAATGACTATCACTATAAGTCTAAGGTAAGTTATACTTATATTATAAATATTATAAGATATCTACTTCAGATTATTACTTTTATCTAAACTAATATACTAATTAATGTACTACTTTATAGATAGATTTTATGAAGAAATTGTTACGACACCAACACAGCTGTGCTAATACTAGGCAGATGTGATGGGCAGAATCATGGAGTAATAATAACTAACCAAACCACAGTTATTAAACTGCAGGAAGACCACAGTTTCTAGTACAGAAACCATATAACTATGGCCTTTCTATTATTACCTAGAATTACTCTGTAGTGCTCTAGAGCACTAGGCTAGATTTACTAGAAGAGAGGTTATATCTAATATATAATATAGTAGAAGGGTATGCAACATAGTTAGTATTTTAGTATTATAGATATCTACTAATATACCACCCTACCACCTACTATAACTATTATTAAGAGGGACTATAGATATATAAGGATACTTATTATTATTATATCTAGAGATCTTAGTTTAGTTCCTTATATTTAATAATAATTATTTACTTAAGTATAAGTTCACTAGTCTAATTTATTAGTTACTCTTTTATTATTAAGTATATATACTTAATAGGCCTTGCTTCTATCTCTACTATTATTATTCTTATATTACTATTAGGTTATCCTTAACCTTTAGAAGGTCATTATATCATTATATTATTAGGCTACCAAGGTGGTAGGCCTTAGGTAAGTATTAGATATAGTCTAGGGACTATATTACCTCATTCCTAAAGTAGTTAACTAGCAGAGAATAGTAGAGATAGATCCTAGGGTATAATAAATTAAATACTATACTAAATAAATTACTTTAGGAGCATTCATTCTGTACTAAAACTATTAGTAACTATGTTATAAGTATCTAGAAGTAATAAAGGTAAGGTACCTATTTATAACCTACCTACTAATACTCTAGACTTAGATAATGATAAAGATATTGCTCTTCTTAAGAGATAAGTTTTAGAACTTAAATTAGTACTTAATAAGTAAGCTAACTATATTTAAACTAATATTTATAATTACTTAATATAACTAGATGCTTAGGTTAGGGTATTAGTGCTAATTAGCAGTGTCTATAGACCTAAGCTACCTAAGGCTAAACTATTTAATAGAACTTAATCTTAACTTTAAGAATTTCTTACATAGATAAATATACACCTTAATACTAATAAAGTTAAGTTACC